TTTTCCAACGGGGATCTCTTCTAAACCCTTTTAATAATAGCTCAAAAAAAATAAAAAAAAATTCTAGATTTCTTGTTTTGAAATAATCAGCGTTTTTATGTTAATATTAAAATGGTGAAAATTAACTAATTAACAAAAGCATAATTAATAAAAAAATAGTGATAAAAATTTTTTGTTTACGGATTATTGTTTATTCATATGTCTACTTAGTACCCAATTTTTTTTATTCCTTAATATTAATATTTAATCAGTTAAAATAATTTTTTTAGTTCATGTGGCAGATTGGGGCGATGCGCGCGGCAGCCAAACCACGCGTTTTTACCGTTATTTTCGCCGCTTAATTAAAATTATAAGGGTTGTTGGTACAGTTCCGGGAGGTAGGACTTTTTTTTAGGAAATTTCCTGCTCATTAAGGATCTTTTTTCAAATTTCGATTATCTCAAATAGTTTCTGAAATATTTCCAAAAAACCAAACCCTTATTTTTTATTTTACTTTATTGTTTATAACTTTTGCATTTTTTTTCAGCCCCTCTTGGAATTTTGATAGAATGTTCTAGATGCTATTCCGAATCGAATGAGCCCAAAATCATAATTGCATTCAATAGAGAAAAATATACCTATTATCCCACTACCGCGAGCAATGATAAATTCATGTAAATTAATTTGTTTGACGAATAGAAGAAACAGGCATAGTGTATTTTAATAAAATTGAAAATAACAAATATTATAGCGCGATTAAATGACAAACCCTACAAAAACCTACTCAAATATTTTTTGTGCGATATACAGGATATACTTATCATAAAGTGCTTGATGTAAATTTTGATTTTTTTTTGATATATCATTCCAGATAAAACAATAGTAAAGAATGATGATAAAGTTGTTTAGATATATTATCAATAATTAATATAATCCAAATAAAAACTTTGAATTAAAAACAATATTTAAGAATAAGCTCCACGTAGGCACATTGTTTCTAAAAATATACGAGGCCTAGTCAAATGAAAAGCCTAAAAATGTTGAAATATAAAATTTATTGAAACAATGTCAAAAACTAGTAAGTAGCTATGCCATTGTTCGTCGTATATAATTTTAATTTTGACAGAGATTCAATATTAATAAATAAAAATCACTTGCAGACCAATACTATATAATATTTAGAAAAACAAAATAATCATAACCTTAAAAAAATGTTTACCTGACGATGTTAAAAATAGTACGAGGTGAAATAATGTTATTTTGCGGTCAATTTGGCTGTTAAATAAAAACCGAATAGATAATAACTATCGTAACTATAACAAACAAAACTTTTTCAATTCAAATCCAGTTGTAAGAATGTTGTTCAAAATTTATAAACCACATAAATTTTGATATGACCGAATGACTTGAACTTGAAATTATTCAGTCTAAAACATATGTTGTTAATTTTAGTAAACGTTCTTGCAACCAGCTGCCAATGTTATAAATTGAACATTTTCTCAAAAGAAAACTTAATAATATGTAGTTATTAGTTTCATTAATAATAATAATACCTAATTAAATTACATAAGACTGAATTTCATTCATGTCTGGTTATACTGTTAACATGATTTTTCCGTGGAAATCATTATTATGATTATGGATATTACGAAATAATACCAATAATAATATAGAAATAAAGTGTATTGTGCAAGAATAAAAAAGAAAACAGAATGTTCCATGTGTTATCCCCAAAACCCACTCGTAAATTTTCTTTAATTTTACTCAACATCCATGTAATTTTTAACCCTTTTCAAGGCTTGTATACAAAAATGAGGCACCTAAATCGGTCACTATCTGACGGTCTATTATAATGGCATGCTCCTATTGAATATTTTTCAATCATAAAAAAGTAATCATTAATTTTTGTAACAAATACTATCCAATATTAGAATAAATTGTTACATAATCCTAATTGTGAAACCTATTTGACTAGTAATTCAATGCCACACAAAACATCTAAAAAGTAAAACAAAATTGGTTATAATAAATATGCATAGTAAATGAAGATTGTATGTGGTTAGATAGTTTTTTAGCTATTTTTCATTTTTAATAAAAAGTTTTTAAGCATTATTTTCATGGTTTAAAATATAGAATTTCAAGGTTTTATGAACTTCTAATAACTTCATGGAGTGAGTCTTAAATATTATGAATTAAAAAAAGCACAAGATAATACCAAACGAATGCATCACCTATATGTTAAAGAAATGTTTTTAAAAATCTTTAATAATATTCCACCCATGCAACACAAATACCTACTACGGAACAAAAGAAGAAGCAGATGTCCCATTCATTCTTTTTTCTATGTATTAACATCAAAAGTCCGAATGTCGTAATGTTGGTTACATCTGCTCTCTTCGTGTTTAATTTTCCTCAGCTTTTTTACAGAGATACGCAGCACCTTGCTGTCTTTGTCCACCCTCTCGCACACCTTGAGGTTGCTTTCAAGATTGTTTGTTTTATAAGGGTGGAAGCAAGTACAGCGATGCACTTTATGCTTTTATCCACCAGCATATATATTTAATAAATGATTTTTCTACTTCTATATAAGTAAAACCAAAAATAAAACATTTATTTACTTTTATATTACATAATTTAATATAAATCATAATTATTTGTATACCTCCTCTAACATCTTGATTTAAGAGGTGCCCAAAATGAGGTAAAATTAAGATAATTGCTGTTACTTCAGTAAATATTTTATTAATTTTATACAGGATGATTCATTATGAAATGGGGTAGATATGGGACACTGTGATAGTTCTAAATAACTAAGTAATAATATCTAATGAGTTGCTAATTATCTATAACCAATATATGAGGTGAGTAATTTTACTCATTTCTTCATCTCTGAAGTATTTTATTTATGAAAATTTCTTTGGTTTTGACGATTGGCGCAATTTCCAACTTTTCTAATAGATACACTGCTACAGCTTCTGAGATCCAATATTCTCACATTTTTTTGGAAAATCTCAATAATGTTGAATTAAGGAATGTGCATTAGAAAGAAATTATTCAAGAAAACCAAAATCGCAAATCGATCAGAACTGTCATTAATAATATTGTTTTTTGATTAGGTACTAATAAAAAGCAGGACTAAATTTGAATCTGTTTAAAATTCAATAAAGGACCATTTACCAAAACGATTTCGAGGGAGCCTTCAACGCCAAACGAAAGATTAATTTAAATTTCAAATTTTGTCGTTTTAATTTCAACATATTGCAAAGCGTATTGATCAATTTATTTGATTAATTTTTAGGAAAATGTTCGTCGTGTGTCTGTCATTGATGTTATTATTTGCTTACCAGGAATAAACAAAAAGATATATAAATATTTATGACATTTAAAAGTAATTTTAGATTTTAGTTAAAAAATATTAAAATCTATTTTTCGAATTTGCATATTTTGTTTATTCGTTTAAATACAAAAATATTTGTCGAAACTAATGGATTCGCGAATTAGCTATTTTTGGTCTATAGCCCTCAAATGTTTTCAGCAGTTTATCTGCTACTAGATTCCACAGTACTGGCATCCTTTTTGGATATTTCACTGAACATTTATGCCTGTACTTGCCGTCCGCTTAACATGTCTTCTATCCAGCAAATGGTGTCTTCTATTCCATATTTGCGAGTGCCAGTTACCTTTGATTTGAAGACGAGTGTTATCTATGTCAAGAAATGCTCCTAAGACTATTTCTTGGTCACTGAGTCCATCTCTATCCTGATTGAGAGACATGTTAATTTGCATGAAATGACCAAAGGGTCAATTATATCATTTACTTCATTACACTTTTTGTCTTGATAATCTTTTGCTGATATTTCACATCCCTTGCCGGTTTATATTATAAAGTTTGGGTCCTCATTACTATCACTGAACTGTCTATCTTCAATATCAACAGAATGTATGGAAATGTTCCTTCGAGGACGAGATGCAAAATTAAGGGATATAATAATTAGAAAACCCACAAAAACCAAAAAATTCTTGAAATTACAGTGCATTTAATTTTTTGGTATTTTGGACGTTCATATTTTGTCCAAATAATGTCCTGGATGTCCATGAACTTCATATGGACGTCCATTGGACATCCATTTTCCGTTATCCAATGGATATACCCATTCAGAAGTCCAATGAATGTCCAAAAATGTCCATAATGGACTCTATAAAAATGACAAACTTATAATAAATTACTATAACTCTTCTTGTAAAATTTAATTATTTACAAATAGGTTTAAATTAAAATAAATCAATTAATTTTTCTTTTTCTGTTGACAAAATACAAAAATAAAAGGCCATTCAGGCTAGACTCGAAGAAGAAAAGAAGAAGAAAGGGGTTAACAAAAACTGCTCACAGCCCCATAGAAAACACATAGTTTATCTGGTAGAAAAATAAGTATAATTAACATTAAATTATTTAAAAATTCAAAATTAAGAAGCACGTTTGTTTATAAACTAATATAATCTAGGAATTATGTTTTAAACTTTATATTTTCGATTTACATTCAAAGAATCCCTTTCTTTTAAACCTGTTGTCAAATGATGTACCTACCTATTTAAGAAAATGGCTTTACTAAAAGCTAACTAATATGCTGCAAATTCGAGATGATGTTAAGACAATTATTATTGTAACTAAGTGGCAAGAGCGGATCCAAGACGAATTTTCGGGGGGGAGGCATTTCCAAAAATAATCTAAAAATAATTTTAAAAATTGGGCTCGAAGGACCATCTTGTTCAGATGCGCCGCTGTTTGAAAAGGGGATAAAACCAGTGGGTGGCAGGCTGTAGTCATCTACGCACACCTTGCCTCATCCCGAAACCCGAAAGCTTCCAAAGCTCAGGTAGAAATAGTAGAAATCCTAAGCGACGAAAAGCATCACGGCCTCACCAAAAACACCGAAAAACATCCAAGCCAGCGCTTGCGCCTCCCCACTTTGCGGCCTTCCACATCGCGAATGATTTTGGATTTCGGATCTCAAACAAAACACTGTCAGTGGCGCGATGACGCTGTTATTGTGCGCACGAAGTGATCGTTTATGTTAATTGACGACATCGCGGTGTGCTTTTTCAGTTTGACGTTTCAGTGGTTTTGTTGTGCAATTTTTATTTCAAGGATTTGTTTTTACCTTTTGGGAGCTCAAAGCAAGGTTAGCGTTTATGGTTTTTCGCTTCGAATGGGATTTCATCAATGACATTGTTTAATTTGTTTTTTTTTTGACCTTTGAATACTTAACGCTTTGACATCCGTCGATTTTGTAATCGCTATTCAAATTACATTGTCAATCCTTGTCCTTACATTTTTTTTTATTATGCCAAATCATTACTTTTCGAAAACCCTGATCGATCATTTTTTTTTCAAAATTTTAACAATATTTTTATTTTGTAAATAAAAAATCTTTCATTACATTGTCATTTCAACATTACACAATTTATTTCAACATTTCTATTATATTTTTAATTAAAAATACCTATCTATATATTAATTATTTAGTTTTTGAGTCCTCCCGTTGTCATCTCATTTCGGTATCCACGACTATAATGAAATTCCTTTGAATTGAATAGGAAATGTGATTCAACTATGAATAATTTACCATTTAAAACTACTTATTTGTCATTTCCGCCAAATATATAGTAATTCTATATTTTAACAGGTTCTTTCTATTTTATACAGGCAGTAGTCATCTACAGTTTCCAATTTTCCCATTGTTTCGATAAAGTATCTGTATTTTCTTTATATTTTCCTACTACATTGTTTCTTACCACCTCAATTGCTTCATATAGGGTTGACATTGACGCATTTTTAATTAAAATAATATTGTGAAATTAATTTTAAAATGAGTAATTACTCTTATTAACAAATTTGTTTACGTCTAAAATGCCGCGTCAAAATTGGTCAACAATAAGTTAAGTAGTTTAGGTAGTTTTCCTACATCAGTAGCGATTGCAAATAATTTTGCTAAATCCTGGGCGGCTAAATCACATAAAAATCGACCTTATTTTAATTTATTAACATAGAAATATGAGTAATTTAAATACATAATAACATAACTCATTAAATAAATCAATTGTAGATGTAATGTTGATTAAGGTTTTGTTTTAAAAATCATTATTATAATGTACAGTTTCTCAATATACAATATTTATCGGTTAAAATAATGTTTACGGTTGGTTTTGGTTATAAAATTTCCAGTCTTACACAATGTAGATTTAAAAGCCCCTAAAATATCGTTTTAAATCTGTCTGCTGCCTACCTGCATGCAAAAGCGTGTTTGCACACGTTACCTGGTTTGCCAAAGGTCATTCATTCAAAAACCTGTCAAAAGAATTTTTTTTTACCTAAAAGTAAATTACTTAAATGTCACCTTTTCGAGGGTATTTTTATATTTTTTTACCCTAGATTTATATAAAAAGGAAACTTGGATATCCTGTATCGGGTTACATTGGTATATCCTACCCTTTTATATTAATGATTCTAACACATTTCTCATGGTTTCTATAGAAAGGGAGTTTCCGAATATTTAAAACTTAAAATCACACACCACTATTTCATATTTTTTAACACCTGCCACCTTTATCCATTTTACTCTCCATCTGTTTCTTTGATTCAAAATAATAGCGATAAAATTTGTAGAATAAGGTGGTGTTGTATGTAAGAGCTTTCAACATCGGAGGTTTCTCAAGGATCCAACCTGGTACCCTTAGATATTCTCACTTGTATTAATGATGTCTCAACTTAGCTCTTGGTATATACCACACACCATACTTACTGTTTACTGACGATCTGGTGATACATAATTACACATAATTTAGAATGCGTTGATCTGATTAAACAGTTAGCGGTTGTATTTCAGAATACATTAAAAAAAAAACGCAAAAATATGTATATTTTATTCCAAAAGGGGGACACATTCCTATCATATCCTTTAACTTTAACAAATACATTTGAAATAGGGAAAACTATGTACCTTGAAAATTACTAAGCATCCAAAAGGTAATTTTATGGGGAATTCAGCAATATGACTAATCATTGCGTAACTTTTGATTTTAGCACCCTCTAAACAACTTCTGAATTGTAAAGGTGATACTTCATTTTAAATCCAATTTAATGGGTAACTCTGAGATACAACCGCTACTCAAGACATCGATGTAATAAGAAAATCCAATTTCCAATTTTATAAAATCTCTTGCAATTTAATTTTTTTATACTAGATACTTATGTAGGTATATTCTTTTTCAGGATCATTACTACATTATCAAGAACCAGAAACTGAGTTCCTCTTCGCTTACACCAAAAAAACAGTACCCATCCGGAATAAATATAAGTGATAATAGTGTTAATTATTTTTAATTTTAAAACCCGCATAATGCAAAACGTGCGTATCCACGAGCCCCAAACGGGCGGGCGTCGAGTAATCGACAAAATCGTAGAAGTGTCGCTATCTAGCGGCGATCCGTTGGTGAAACTTCGCGTGCCGCAACCGCGAGATCTGGAATGTCGCGTGCCCAGAGTGACATCGGACAGAAGCAGACACGTGCCTCTGGGTCCGAATAGCAGTGAAAAACTCTTGCAAAGTTCCATAATTGCGGATAAGTACCAGTTGTTCGAGCAAGTAGAAGGTAGTTCTCTTTATCGTTGTATGGATATCAATTCCAAGGAAGAGCTAGTTTGTAAGGTAAGCGTCTTACACTTTCCAAGGCTAGATCGTTTAAGCCATTTTAGTACTTTTAGCTTCTTTCAGATTTTCGACCACTGCTTATTCATTTTATCCATTCTGGAATTTTCTTTTGTACCCTTTCCTTCCATTACTTACATGACTATCTAGACCATAACAATGTTAACTAAACTAGAAAGATATAGCATAAGAGATAACGCACTGTATTGGTTTCAGTCTTACTTAACAGATATACAACTAAGGGTTCTTATAAGTAAATAATCAAATATTCTATTAACATCTGTTGATATCCCACAAGGGAGTATTGCAGACCCATTATTAAAGGTTAAAATAAACAATATTGAAATATTAGCTTTAGTAGATACAGGTTCTAGTTCAACAATTTTAGGTCAACAAGCTTTTAATATTATCCATAAAATAAATACACCTATCTTATATGATGATGACTTAAGTGTAACTACTGCTGATGGGGTTTCACAAAATGTATTAGGTTTTATAAATGTACCAGTCAATGTTGATAATATTACAAAAATTTTGGAGAATTTTACTTATACCTACAGTGAAACATAATTTAATTTTGGGAATAGACTTTTTAAATTTATTTAATATTGATATTAGATATGATGAATTTTCATATTGTTTATTATTATGTTTATGTGCTATAAATTTTATACAAACAATGTCAAATCTGTCTTTTGAACAAAAATCTAAACTTAATGGAGTGGTAGATATTTTTTCTACTATAGCTCCAAAAGATTCTTTAGGATGCACACATTTAATTAAACATGATATTGATACTGGGGATACAAAACCAATTTTTTCTAGACAGTACCCACTTTCACTTCCCATGATGGTCCATGTAAAAAAAGAACTTAATGATTTACTACAATTAGGTATCATACAACCATCTGTTTCTCCTTGGTCCAGTCCACTTTGGATAGTGGATAAGAAAACTAGTACCGAAAAAAGATTATGTGTAGATAGTAGACGTTTGAACAAACACACTGTTTCTGATAGTTATCCTATGCATTTAGTGGACTCAATATTGAGTAAACTTAGGGATGCAAAATTTCTTACCTCCATTGATCTTCGAAAGGCTTTTCTACAGATTCCTCTAACTGATACCTCCAAACCTAAAACTGCCTTTTCAGTTTTTGGTGTTGGATCATTTGAATTTACAAGAATGATATTTGGCTTAAAAAATGGTCCTCGTACAATGGCTCGTTTAATGGACATACTCTTAGATCCTTCTATTCTTCCTTACTGTTTCTGTTATTTGGATGACATTATTGTAGCAACTCCTACTTTTGAACTTCATATTGACACTTTGAAAAAATTGTTTAATAGATTGAAAGATGCTAATCTTACAATTAATATGGAGAAAAGTGAAGATAAGGGTGGTTTAAGGACAGATCCCGAAAAAGTTTCTGCAAGTTCCCTCACATACTACGGAAATTAAATGTCTCATAGGCCTAATAGGTTCGTATAGGAGGTTCCTAAAAAAATTATCTACGGTTTGTTCAACTATTAATGACTTATTAAAGAATAAGAAGAAGGGACAGTCTATAGTATGGACATCAGAAGCTGATGCTGCGTTTGTAGAGATTAAAAAGATGCTTACCACTAGCCCAATACAATTCATTATCCAAACGGATGCTAGTGAAACTGGAATTGGTGCTATCTTATATCAAGAATGTGATGGTCTTGAACACCCAATTGCTTATGCTAGTCGTAGCTTAATGACTTGTGAAAGAAAATTATCCACTACTGAAAGAGAATTACTTGGATGTATTTTTGGAGTTAAAAAATTTCGGTGTTATGTTGAAGGTACATATTTCCTTTTAGAAACGGATCATTCTTCCTTACAATATCTTTATAAATTGTCCAATCCTTCTGGTCGTTCAGCTCGGTTGGCTCTCCGTTTATCCCAGTTTAATTTTACTATTAAGCATAGGAAAGGTTGTTCTATGACAGTGAGTGATTCTTTAAGTCGTCCAGTTAATGATATTTCTATCTTAGATGTTGCAGAATTTAAACCTGACAAGTGGTATAAATCTATGTTACATAAAGTTGATTCATGTCCTGAAAAATATCCCTCTTTCAAAGTTGAAAATAGAATCTTGTATAAACATATTTTTTCTCACAATCCTTTGATATCTAATTTAACTAATTGGAAAATTGTTGTACCTAATAAGAATCGTTCTGAAATTCTTAAAATTTATCATGATGATGTTACTGGAAGTCATTTGGGTATTTCCAAAACTATCTCTCGTATTTCAGAAATGTATTATTGGCCAAATTTAAGCACGAATGTACCTAAAGCTGGTATTATGGATAATTATAAAAATATTAATCATCCTTTTCAATGGTTATCAATGGACATTATCGGAGCATATCCCAGAACAAATAATGGAAACAAATATGCTCTTATAATAACAGATTGGTTTACTAAGTTTTGTTTTGCTCATCGTATGTCTCCAAACGCAAAGTCATGCGTTTCTCCTGAAATCGCTTTGCTTAATTTTCAAATTCCCCTCGTATTATGATTCTAGTTCCCCTCGTATCGCCTTGTATACGAATCGGTATTTATAATAATCTGTTTGTTTGTGCGTTTATGGGTCTTTTGTAGATACGGACACCTTACAGGATGTAGTAAAACAAACAACGGTATCAAAGTTATCGATAATTGCGAAGAAAGATTATAAAAGCTGTTCTGCGATTCATGTTTATCATGTTTTAGAACGATAACGGAGAAGACATTATTCAGGACATGATATCGACTGTGATTGAAATAAAAAATAAAATTATAGATATACATGACGAAATAACAATTCTTAAAAATTGTTTCTATGATTTCATATCGGAATGGCAATAGTTTTGCTGACGTTTATAGAATGGTGGGTCCGTGTATTGTCTTATGAAGAGAATCCTTTTATTTAATTTGGTCGTAAGATCTTTATCAGTCTAGATAACAGTGGCCATCTCTCATAGTACCAAAGATATAAATACACTTAAATATTGAGCAAAAAAATTAAAATTTGGTGAAAAAAATATAGCTCTGTGGACTTATGACTTTGCCATTCTAGCTTTATAGATATGTTAAATTGTATTTTATTTTTTGTTAGAAAACTATTGGTTCAATTGAAAAAAGCACCAGACAAAAAGCTAACAGATAAAACAGGAATTCTGAATAATATTTTATAAAATTATGCTAACTTTTTATCTCTTTAAAAAATAACGAAATTTTTAGAATATTTTTAGATCTAGCAGTAAGTTATTGTATAAAGACGTCATAAAAAAAAGAATTGTTCATTTTAAAATGTATTTCTTAAGGAACAGCAAAGCAAAAAGGGTAAAAACGGGAATTGGCTAAAATGACAGCTGCAGCAAGATTTAATCACATAAAAAAAATGTTAATATACCATACCTGAATCCTTTGAAATTTTTATTATATTTTATATATATTATTATTCGACAATATTCAATACTTTAAAACTTATTGTAGTTATATGCAAAACTGATTGAATTCTTAAGATTGGGGTGCATATATTTCCACATTTTTTCCTCGGAATTTCCCACACGTAAGAATTAATCGGCAAAATTTTTAGATCGTAGCGAAGGTCAGAGGTCCAACAAACCCTATTTTATAGTCGAAGTTTCTCAGCAAGATCTCGCGTCCGAGAACCTGTTTCTGGACCACGCGAACCGGTTTAGTAGTAAATAGTTTCATTGATTTTAAATTCGCATAAAAGGGTGGCGAGATATTTTAAAACGTATCGATTCAGGGGTGGAAGTTACTGTGGGTCAGGGTGCATTTAATTTTATTCCCTCTATCTAGGAATTTATAGAAGTTTTGAGGAGCTTGAGAATATTTTTAATATATTCTTAAAAATTGTGTATCTCCCTTTGCAGCGTCTTTTATTATTTAAAATAATGGGGTGATAAAATAAGAAACTTGGTATTGTCGAGTTTAGGTTTTTGTAATAGGTCAGGGTTATCTACTTTTACATTACGTTATTGTTGCTCATGGGGTGACATTTTAAAAAACTGTTATCTATGAAACAATTGCAATTAAAATGACGCAAATTGCCTAGTATCACTGACGCCATCAAAGGATTATATATGGATTCTACTACTCATAACATTTGTAATAAATATGCATGAGTAAGTACTAGATTGTAAAAAATATAATTATCTACATTTTTATTAGCTTTTTTAGGATTTTATTTGCTAATCATCCCTAAAATTACGTCATAAATTAGTCCACTGCGATAATGAGAACAATGTTAAGGTTCTAGCGTCCCTTAAAGTGGTAAACTAATTTTCTCGCTACTATAGTCTATTTTTATGTAAGAGAGAGTAATAAAACAGCATTTCTAATGCAAAACTTAGTACGGTCATTTTAAATATTTTTACAGAATAATCTAAATATTTCCTAAAATTGTAATAAATGTACCTGAGTTATTACAAGTTTTGGGTCTTTTATTGGTCCTTTATAAACATAAGCTGTACAGAACAATAGAAAAAGGTTTGGACAGGCCAAAAGCCCTGTGTATTAAAGATTACATAGCCGTATCTAAAGATTATTTTCAATAAGTACCTATTTGCCAATTTTGTTTTATTTTAATTCCAAGAATTTCTTACAGTAATCGAATTATAAGTAGATAAATACCTTCCCAACAAATTTCACCGAAAATGCGATTATAGGTTTTCCATTTAGTAAGGAGGTCCAAGTTGTGTATTCTTGACAATTTACTAAATGTCGTTTAGTTGCAACTTGCAAGGTGCAGTGTGAATTCTAGTGTGATCATGGAAAATTTGGAAGGGCCGCGTAAACGACAAAAAATCGGTCCTTTAACAGTTAATGAAAAAACATTAATATTTAATTGTTTTAAATCATTTACAGACAAACATTTATGTAAAAGTGTTGATGACACAGTGGAATTAGTTAGTAGTACGCTTGGTGTTGGGAAATCTACGATTTACAGAGTTGTTAAAGA